TAGTTTTAGGTGGATATATGATTGGCTGAATGAGTTAGGCGCGACAAGCGTAGAGGTGGTGGGTTCTTGAGATAGAGAAATGTATACAAGTGGACGGCTGGAAAAATCAAAATGCCGTAAATCAAAGGCTGGGATCAGATTTTACAACTATCAGTGAAGTAGGCTTTGTTGGTTGACTGATTGGGCACATATGGTTTTGGATTGGGAAGATGTGAGTTTCAAGTTTTAGGGCAGGGATGCTCTGAGTTGCTTTGTTTCACTGAAGGTTTATTAGCGCGGAGTTTCAAGTTTTTATAGCTGGGACGACGGACACACGTGGCGAACACTACCCAGGTATAGATTTTTACAACAGGGCACTGTTTCCTGTTATGGAATTTTCCCGAATCGCCTTTCATTTGGCGCGACGGCTGTTCCCCAGATGGGTCTGTTTCCTAATTTATATTTATATATGTATATATTCCTATTATAGTTATATTAGGAGAATATAAATCCGCGAGGGGAAAGAATTTTTGCTAATTAAATCTACAGGACGTAACACCGGGTGTACCATTCCTTTTGGGATGAGGCCTTTCTGCACCTCAATAATCCCGATGGGTTCTTCCTCTTCCTCTTCCATCATATTCGCTATTGGAGGAGTAATCCTTCCTCCTTCTGTTCCTTCCTTTTTCCCTTTCATACAGGTCGGAGGCGAGGGGGCACCCGACATCAGCTGCGGTGTCCCCTTTATACTCCCGCCTGTATTTCCTTCTTGTTTCGGAGGAAGGGGGGATAATGCCACAAGAGGCGTTATCTCCCTTATACTCCGAAGCGTCCCTTTTATTTCCTCTAGTTCTTTTTTAACGTCTTTCAGGGATTCCTTAAGACTGGCATTTTCTATCCTGAGTTCCTCAATCATATTCAGGTTCTCCCCGCTTTTATCATTGGAGATATATTTTGCCATCATATTTGTTCCCGCAGCTATTGCAGCTGCAGCATCCCGCAAGACTTTAACATGCGTTCCCTTAAGATTTTTTTATTTCACCGAAAAGCCCAGTACTTTCATTGACGCCTCTAATACGGAGGACGTCAGTTCCCTGAATGGGGCTTCCTCCATGTGCTCCATGAGTCTCTTAACTTCCGCTTTGTATTTTCTATTTTTTGAGCAGTCTTGAAACTCCACTAGCGGATTTTCCATTCCTTTGAGGTCTTCCTCCCTCCTTTGGTTTAACAATTCCTGTTTTTTCGCCATGAAAATTTTCTTTTTATGATATTCTCCCGTTGTTGTCGGCCTTCCTCTTCCTCTCAAGGCTTTTTCCACGAAACGTTCCTCATCCGTTTCTCCATCTGTGTTATGTGGAATATCATATTTCCCTTTCATGGTTACTTCCTCCTCTAACAACTCCTCTTCTTGTGAGCTGGAGTCAGACTCTAACCCAACGACATCAATATCATTAGGGGATCTGGACCTGTCACTGTCCCTCTTTGTGTCCCTTATTGCTTCTAGGGATCTAGAACTCCTCAGTCCCTTCCTCCTTGCCATCTGCTCAGGATGGTCTTTTGGGGTGACAGTCGCTGGTGCCCTCCTACGAGAGCGGTGAGCTGTCATGTCCATTTCATTTGCCAGGGTCGTCTTACGCTGTTCCGTATCCGTTAGGTCAATAGAAATTAAAGAGTATGTCATTTTGGTTTCTAACCCACAACTCCGCACGGCTCCGGTGCCCGGGCATGCCCGCATCCCTCCGGAAAGGGGGAGCCTCCGAGTTCCCCCAGAGGAGCACCATATAGCACGGGCCGACGGAATGTGTCATCGTCGGCACAGGCCTCCCGCCCCCTACACGCGCCTTGACCACCATTTCTGGTGGCCAGACCGCTTTCGGGGGTCCCACACCTCCGACAATGTGGGCACCGTGCAGAGCGCCGCCACGCGGGGGGCCCCGTGGAAGGAGGTAGTTCACCGGTGTTGCACCCCACCTGGAACGCCTCCCCAATGGCAGCCAGCGTGCTAGCGCCGCCCGAGGGTCCGCTTTAGGGTGATGCGATCGCATTCCCTCGGGCACAGCACACCGGGGCTCCGGCCGCGCCTCGGAATACGTCCGAGCGGCCAGGAGCACCCCTCCACCCCCCAGGTACCGTGAGGGGTTCCAAACCCTCATGGTGTGCAGACCTGGGTGTGAGTACCTCTCTCCGCCTGGCCGTGGCCAGGACGGATGAGGGAGAGGATCATTCCCTTTGGCTGCCGGAACACCGGCGTGCAATGCCTTCGGGGATGATTCCTCTAGATGGCGCATGAAGGTGTCTCGACCCCGACCTCGGAATACGTCCGAGCGGCCCGGGACACTCCTCCACCCCCAGGTACCATGGGAATAGTCCCATGGTGTGCAGACCCGGGTGTGGGATTCTCCATTCGCCCAGCCGTGGCTGGGACGAATGAGGGAGAGAGGTCCTCCCCTCTTCGGCTGCCGGAGCATCGGCGTGCAATGCCTCAGAGGGTGGGATCTCTCAGGACGCGATAGGGTACCCCGACCCCGACCTCGAAACGTCCGAGCGGCCCGGAGTACCCCTCCGCATCTCAGGCACCATGGGGGAGGATCCCCATGGGGTGAAGCCCTGGATGCGGGTACATCCCTCCACCCCGGTCTAACCATAACGGTCCAACCGAGGCAGAAGGAAATGGTTCTCTCTCTTCGACTGCCGGAGCACCGGCGTGCAATGCCTCGGAGAGAGAGGTCCCCTTCCTAGAGCGAGTGTAGAGGAGGTCATCCCTGTCGGTTGCCGGAGCACCGGCGTGCAATGCATTCAGGGATGGTGATCTCCTCCCACTCGCTCTGTGACCATACTGGTCATGGATCAGGCTGGTCATTCAGCCCGGTCGGGTGCTCTTGGTCCTGTCCCTCCGTACAGACCACACCGGCATGGTAGAACCTGCCAGGGGCCGAAACCCCCGCCGGTATAGCTCTGTACATCATCGGGACCTTCAAGCCTCCCCACCACGTCAAGGTGGCACCCACGGGGAGGTTTTTTAAAGGTGTGTGGGGTCCCGATGGGACCCCCCCCCCTCGGTGAGGAACCGAGGGGGAAACTGCAGCACCCATCCCCCGGGGGGTGGGTCTTCCCCCCAGGGCTCCCTCCTCCGTACTAAAACGGATTCGGGGGTCACACCCTGGGGGGAGGCTGTCCCTCCTAGCGCGGTCAGGGGTGTTCCCACAAGGGGTCGGCCCACTCCTGACCGCTCCTTCCTGGCCCATGAGTCCCGGTGCGGGGGCCTCTAGCACTGCGAGGCCACTACCGCACCGGCAGATCTCATGGGCCTGGGGTGAGGGAGTGGGTGAGGAGAGCTACTCATGCTCATTACCCCCTCCACTCCTCCCACCCCGCCTCCGCTAGGAGGGAGACTGAGGCCTCAACCTCCATCATCGCCGCCTCGGAGACCCCCTCCGGCCTAACCGCCGGAGGAGGGTCCGGCGCAGTTGGAGCGGCCGTCGCTCCACCCGCCCCTGGCCCTGCCCGATCCGTGGGCGGCAGAGGCTGGATATCCCCAGCCTCCGTCGCCCCCATCCCTTCCCCATCGGTCCGGCTTGTGCCGGCGACCGATTTCTTCGCCTCAATGGCAGCATTGCCGGGAGCTGCGGCTGGACACCAGCCGCAACTTCCCCGCGTGCCGCCTTCTTCTTTTTCTTCCTCCTCTTGCGAGGAGGAGGCACCCCCCCTCTCGGGGCAGTCCGGGGGACCGCCCGGCCACCCATACGGTGGCCGGCATCCCGCCCCTCTTTTTGGCACAGGGGGCACCGCACATCAGCAGTGCACCCCTGTGCCACGTGACCGGCCCCTCCGCTCCGGAAGCAGCGGCCTGCCAGACCGTTATCGGTCTGGCAGGTCGCTGCCATATGGCCATAGTGCAGGCACTTATAGCACTGGAGGGGCCGGTCCTCCAGTACTCTAATTTGGGCTTTACCCCATCCCACTATCAGCCCCCCGGCTGCAAGCAATTTTTGGGCCGGTGCCAGCGGGCACCGTACCCAAACCTCCCCTAGTCCCCCGGACGACCTCCTGATCTCCCCGATCTGGAGATCGTCCGGGGGACAGCCTGTGGCCCTCAAGATCGTGACCCGCACCATTAACGTTGTCACGGAGTCCTCCAGTCCAACGAGGCGGAGCTCTGTCCTCCTCGTCGGCCTGGAGACCACCGCGTCTCCGCTCAAAACATCCTGGAGATCCCTAGCCAGGCGGTCGGCTTTACTCCGACCGTCCTGGCCAGCGATCTCCAGGATGACCCCCCCGTTTCCGCTCTGCCCCTCAGGCTAAGGATCGACGAACTGACAAAACACCCAATAACGAAGATGCTTTTTTTTTCAGTGCCCCGAACACAAAAAACAGTTTTTTTTTTACATAATAATGGCCGCTTCGCGGGAAACAAACAAAAAAAAGAAAAACGGCCCGCTCCTGTGAGGGATGCGATGGCCTAAGCAAGGGGGGGGCGATCCCTTTTCCCTCAGCCGCGGGAACGCTCAACGCCGCTCACTCCAGGTCCAGGTCTTGGTGGTGGATCTCGCGCCAGACTGGTCCGCAGCGCGGGCAGGTCCGCATGGTGCACCCCGGCCTGGCGCACCGGTAGCACCTCGGCTGCTCATGGCGGGGACTGGGGCACTGCGCCAAGAGGTGGCCCGTTCCGCCGCACCGCCAGCACTTCTTCGGGGCCCAGTCCGCCACCCAACGCCGCGGACGGGCTCGGGCCGCATCTATGGCGCGGACACGCACCTTCGCCCATTCCTCTGTCGCGGCCACGCCCTCCGCCCCACTCCTCCTCGTCGAGTAGCCAATCCCCTGCCGCCCACTCCGGCTCGGGCTCCGCTACCCAGCGGGCCATCTCGGCGGCCACTCGCCGCGCCTCGGGGTTCGCCCCGGCTCGCCGCTGCTGCGCGACCCTCTCAGCCCCGGCCTCCACCGCCAGCACCCAGGCCCGTTGCCAGGTGCTGGGTGTCGGACGGGGACGGGGGTTCTCCGCGGAATCCATCGCAGGGAGCCTACAAGGGAGGTACATATTGTTTGAGATCCTTCGCATGGACCTTTCCTATTGGTTTACCCGGCTCATCAGCCAACTCATACACGGCGCTCGACCGTCGTGCCGTCACCACGAACGGCCCCGAATATTTCGGCGCCAATTTCGCCGCGATATAATTGGCCGCCGACGACAGCACATGCTGCTTCTTCCACACGAAATCGCCAACACCAAAAATCGCCGGTCGCTTACGCAAGTTATACCGGCCGGCCTGCCGCTCGTAGGCCTGCGCTAAATTCTCTCGCACCCAATCTACGAGCGGCGCCAATTTCTTTCTCCGCTCAGACCAATTGACCGAATTACCCGGATCCAGGTCCTTCCGCCCTTCTCGACGCCGCCGCAACGACACGGTCGGCTCTAATTCGCGTCCCAAATTCAGAAACGCCGGCGACATCCCCAGCGACGAATGATGTGCCGCGTTGTACGCGAATCTAAAATCCTTGAGACGCCGATCCCACTCTCGGTGATCTTGCTCAATAAATGCCACCACCATGGTCTTGAGGACTCGGTTCACCCGCTCCACGGGGTTCGCCTGTGGATGATACGGCGGGGTGGTCGTGTGCTCGATCCCATGATCCCTTGCAAAAGCTGCAATATCGTTGTTGACAAACTCTGTCCCATTGTCAGTCATCAAGTACCGCGGTGTTCCCTAACGCGAAACGACCAGCTCGTCCAGGGCCTCGCTAATCAACCTCCCCGTGGCGGCTCTAAGAGCGCGGCATTCCACCCACTTGGTAAATAGGTCCTGCACGACTAGCAGGTACGAAAACCCAGCTCGACTCCGCGGAAAGGGTCCCATTATATCCGCGGCTACCACTTCCCACGGGTGTTCGACCGCCCGCCGTCCCATGAGCTCGGCGGCCGCTTGTTGTTCCACCTTCGTTCGCTGACAGGTGTCGCAACTCCGGACGTACTCGACTACCTCGCGGAACATGCGCGGCCAGAAGTACGCGAACGCCAAGCGGTGGTACGTCTTTTCCACCCCTAAATGTCCGGCCTGAGGCTCGTTATGGGCCTCGGCTAATGCCTCGGACCGCCCCTCTATAGGCTGCACCAGTTTCCACTGGTTTAAATCCTCCGCGAACGCGGAGACCACTGGGTGAGGTCGCAAAAAATATAGGTGGCCGTCTATTATTCGCCATGTCGCAAAGCGTCGCGGATCCCGCCTAACGTCCTCGTAGCGCTGGCGGTACCACGCGTCCGTGACTCCCGACAACGAATCCCCCTCCTCGTCGCGCTCTTCGTCCGCGGCGACTGCCGACCCGCCAAACGGAGTTCCTCCGTTCTACTCCGGAATACGCGATAACGCGTCGGGCACATGGTGCAGGGCTCCCTTGCGATGCTCGATCGTGTAGTCATATTCGAGCAACTCTAAGGCCCACCTTGCTAATCGACCAGTTGGGTTCTGCAGGCGGTGTAGCCAGCGGAGGCTACTGTGGTCCGTAACAACCTTAAACGAATATTCCTTCAAATACGGGCGGAACTTCCGTATCGACCACACTACTGCCAAGCACTCCTGCTCCGTGGTGCTATACCGTCGCTCCGCATCTGACAACGCCCTGCTCGCGAACGCGACTACCCGTTCGACCTGGTCTACGGTCTGTGTTAATACTGCCCCTAACCCGACGGCACTCGCGTCGGTGTGCAGCGTGAACGGTATCGAGAAGTCGGGGCACGATAACATCGGAGCCGTCGCCAAGGCCCCTCTAATCTCCTCAAAAGCCCTGCGCTGATCCTCGCCCCATTCCCACCGACTCTTTTTCCTCAGCAACCGGGTGAGAGGCTCGCTAACCCCCGCAAAACTCGGCAGAAACCGCCTATACCACGAGGCCATGCCGAGGAATCGCCTCAGTTGTTTAATACTGGTCGGGACTGGGTACTCCAAGACGGGCCGGACTTTATCCGGATCGATTCTTAACCCGTCGAGCTGCACCACGAATCCGAGGTACCTCACCTCCGATCGACAAAATTTGCTCTTCTCAGCGTTAATCACTAACCCCGCCCCGACGATTCTTTCGAGTACCCGCCCCAGCCACAGCAGGTGTTCCGCAAAGGTCGGAGTCACGACGACAATGTCGTCTAAATAGGCGAACGCGTATGACTCCATCTCCGGCCCAATTAAACGGTCCAGTAACCGCTGGAACGTGGCCGGGGCCCCCGAGAGCCCGTACGGCATCCTCCTAAAGTGGTAATGCCCCTTCGCCGGCACCGAAAACGCGGTAATTTCCCGATTCTCCCTGGCCAATGGGATCTGATGGTAGGCCTGACTGAGGTCAATTGGTCGAGATGTAACGAGCCGCCCGCAACTTATCCAATATACCCGTCATATTGGGCAGCGGGTACGCGTCTCGTTTCGACACCTCATTGACTTTCCGGAAATCCAGACAAAACCGGTACGATCCGTTCGGCTTCCTAACCATCACGACCGGGTTAGCCCACTCACTATGGGACGGCTGGATTATACCCGCCCCCAACATGCGGTCGACCTCCGCGCGAATCGCGTCTTGCACCTTCGGCGACACCAAATAGCACCGCTGCCTTAACGGTGCATGTGCTCCCACGTCCATCCGGTGTTCCGTTAACGTGGTCGTCCCTATACGTTCAGGCGGGGGCGGAATAGCCTTCGCTAGGAAAGCTCAAAGCCGCGCGCTCTAATCCTCACTTAATTCCGCGAGCCCCAAACACCGGGCGCAGTCCGCCGTCGTACGCATTAGAGGGTACCGACCCGACGGTTCCCCTCGGAGACCCCACTCCCCGCTCGCAAAATCGAGGTTGATTCCGAAGACTCGTAGAAAATCCACCCCCAATATCGCCGGTACCGCCAACTTCGGTAACACGTGCCACATCATCTCGCGCTCCACTCCGCGCAATCGAGCTATCACCCGCATCGAGCCATGCATCGGCACCAACGAACCGTCCGCCAACGTCAGACGCGAAATCTGGGCCCGCTCCACGGGCGTCCCCTGTGCCCGCAGTATCTCCGCGGTGGCCTGGTCTATCAAAGTTCGGTTCGAGCCGGTATCCACCAGCCCACGAACGGTATGCGCGCCGACCTCGCACTCGAGGTACCCCAGCGGCTGACTCACGCCACTCTCGTATGCGCCATACTAGGTGGCTGCCGCGTAACACCTTCGGCACTTTCTTGGTTTTTTCTCGCGGGCGCTTACGCACCTTTCCGCCCGCGTCGGCTCCCCTTGGGCCTCTAACAACGCCGAAGACGCAGGGGCCCCGCCTAACGTCTTCGTCGCCCGTTTCCCGCACACGCCGGACACGTGCACAGGATTTGCTCGGGTCGCCCGCATCCAAAGCAGTGCACCCTGGCCGGTGCACCACACTCCCTCGCGAGGTGCCCGTCGCGGCTACAATTCCAGTACCGACCCCCTCGGTTGGCCCTAGGCGTGGGCGGCGTCACCCCCTGCCCCGCTTCCAACCGGGTCGGCGCCCCGCGGGCCCTATCCCATTCCGCCCCTACTCGCGGCCCTATGAGCGCGGGCTCGTCATCCCGTCGCCGACTAATTCCTACGGCCGCCTGCGGTCCAGACTCCCGTCGCGACGAGGCCCGCCTAACCTCTCCCCGTCGCGACCCTCGTGTTCTGTCTTCTAGAGGTGTCGACCCTCTTGCCCTCGACGGCTCCACCGTCTCAATCGCTTCCTCCTCTTCAACCCTCCCCTCGGGTTCTATGTTTTCCCGTCCCCATCGACGCTCCCGCCCTCCCGGCTCGGGGACGTCGGTAGTCGCCAGCGCGGTTGCCCCCTTCGCCTCCCCGTGGCGACGGGCGGTATGCCAAATCTGGGCAAACCGATCTCTCCGGCGGCGGCGGGGCCCGATATCGGCTGGCCGTCGCGTAACTCAGCTCGATACGGGTCGCCAAGATTTCCAGCCCGTCAAAATCCGCGAATTCATCTCTGTGTACCGTGATCTGTAACCGGGGCAGCAAGTTACGATGCGCGTAATTCAGCTGTTCCCGCAGCGACCAAGGCGGATCGAGTCTAGCAAAGAGGGCCATCATGCAGGCCAGATAGTCGGCTACCGGTTCATTCTCCCCCTGCGTACGGCGCATTATTTCGTCCCGCAACTCGAAATCTGCCGCCCCGAATCGTGTGCGAAAAGCCGCCTCAAACGCCCGCCACGTAGGCCATCGCGACCGCTTGGCCCGAAACCGAATAAGCGCGATCCCGCTCAGAAAATACGGCAGGGATTTTAAAACGTCTTCATCCGTCATCGTGACGACCTCCCGTGCCTCACGAATCCTCTCCAAGAACGCGTTCGCGTCCGCCCCGCGAATTCCCGAAAAACTGATATTCCACCGCCGTAACGCATTTAGTGCGTCGGCGGTGGAGAACACCCCGCGTCCCCGCGCCGCGACCTCGGCCCCGAGGGACTGTTGGCGCGCTTCGCCGGGCCACTCCGCGTCAGCGGTCCCGGCCGCTCGGTGTTCGCGCTCCCTCATATTTTCGCGGGCGAAAAGCTCGCGTCTTCCCTGCCCGGTCTCCTCCACGGGTTCCGGGAATGACGCTGCCCCCAACGCGCGGATTTCCTCGTCCGTCGGCAAGTCCAACACCTGTCCCAGCGGCGGGTCCAACGCTTCCACGGCCGCGAGCTCATGCCGATGTAAACGATCTCGCAAAACGGGCAAAATTCCGAGGGTCGACAGCCCTCGCTTCTCGCACTCCCCCTTAACTGTTCTACCGAGAGCGCGTCTATCCAACCTCCCCCCACCGGCTCCGGGGTGTGCGCCCCCCCCACGCGCCCCCCTAGTTCCGGGCATGTTCCCCCAGTATACCTCCAAATCTCTTCGTAATTCCTAATTCGCCTCTCACGCTGACCCGGCCGACCCCAAAAACCCACAGAGGATTTCCGACGGGGTGTTCTCTAACACGTAGCTATCCTGAGAGAATGTAGCGTCGTCCCTCCCGAAAGGTTTTTCCCTCCCGAAGGCCGATAGTGCCCGACGCTCGTCTGGACACGTGCGCGTTGCCTCTTCCCGCCAACAGTACAACGGACCCTCTTTTGTCGCCCCCAAACGCGGAACGCACGGTATGGCCCTGACGGCTCTCTTCCGCCGGTACCCCACCCGCTACCGCGCCACTAAACCCGATCGCACGCACGGATCCTTCCGAAGCGACGTCGGTCGTCGTCGTCGTCGCGCGGGTCCCCCTCGCGTCCCCACTTCACACGCACGCACACGACCACCGCACGCACTGGTCCTCGCTGATCACGCGCGCGACACGTGCAAGCCGCTAAAGTTTCACTCGCGAACCTTTCGGTGTTGACGATTTCGTGAGGTGTTGTTCCGCCGGGACAACTCAAGACGGACACTTTCTTACATGCACACACATACAAAAACAGACGAGACAAAGAGAATTCTTATCTTCTCTCCTCAAATCCTCGATACGCTTTAATATGTTTCGCTCAATACTCGATATTTGCCGCGAACGGTTCTCTGCTGCAAATTACGTGATCTCTATTACTTGCGCGAGCCCTACGTTGGGCGCCAAAATTTCTCTTGCGACGTTTTTCACTAAGCGATTAAAAGGAGATCCGCGCACGATTGCCCGTCGCAAGGAATTCCGCCGGTAGCGGGGCCCGGCGGGCCCGATCCGACCCCAAATAGTATATCGCTCAAAATT